ACTAACACCTAAGAGTAGCCGAGATTAGTACCAGGAATTTTGTTCCATAGCTTGGAGGCCAGCCACACGTGTTAGGGGAAAAGGGAGCTCAGATAGAGAAGGGAGCACCAAATAAAGGGTGTTTGCAGGATCCTCCCTGCATGGGAGAAGCATGCTGAAAGGAGACCATAGACCAAACATGATTGCCACTCAATGCCTCTCTTGCAAACCACAACACCCAAAAGGAGAGAGAGAGAACACAAAAGGGAATGCCCTGCCACAGAGGTAGGGTGGGATGGGAGGATGGGGGATGGGAGGGATACTGGGACCCGTGGTGGAAAATGGGTACTGGTGGAGAGATGGGTACTTGATCATTGTATAACTGAAACCCACTTGATCACTTGATCACTTGACTTCCCGTTAATCGTCAATTTGCTCAAGTGGGCACCAGTAACATCTCCATATGTCCCTGTCGCGTGCTAGTGTAGCCCAATGGCGTATTCATTCTAGGAACATGAAGAGTCTCAAACCAATCGTTCAGGATCTTGATGAAAAAGTCTGACCATCTGGTAGCTGGGCGGCAACGTGGTCTTTTGATGTCCTGTGGAATCCAGTCGGTAACGGCTCTAGCCCAGCAGTCGTCTCATTACCTGTTCAGCCCATCTGATTTTTGACACCTTGGCAAACGAGACAGCATCCTTGATTCTTGATTTTCAATGGAGGCCGGAACTCTGGATTCTTTCTCTCATTTGAGTGAAACGTGATACACCAAGCATAGCTCTTTCAATTCCTCTTTGGGAGACCTGAATAGTGTTCTCATCCTGTTTGCGTACGGCCCAGGTCTTTGAGGCGTATGATAGTGCAGGAAGAACAGTGGAATCAAAGAGATGTGCACAGAGTCAGAGGTTCTTTGTCCTCTTAGCTATTTCTTCAACACTCTTGAAGGCATTCCAAGCCGCTCTCTTCCTCCTGCGCAACTCAGGTGCCAGGTCATTCATCATGTTGACTTCTCGACCTACGTACACATAACTCCCATTCCTTCCCATTCCAGTTTTTGCATGATGTTCTTGAGGGTGGCACTGAAGAGTTTCGGTGAAATGGTATCACCCTGCCGAACCCCTCTCTTGACATGGATGATCACTTCTTTGTAGAATGGTGAGATGCTAGTAGTGAATACGTAATACAGCTCACGGAGGATCCTGATGTATTGAGTTTGAATGCCTTAATTGGCTAGAGCTTCAATGACTGCTTCCGTCTCAACAAAATCAAAGGACTTCTTTCAATCAGTGGATGTTAGACAGAGTGGCATCTTGAACTCCGAGAAACCTCAATAAGCTTGGTTATCATGTGGATATGGTCGATGGTGCTGAATCCTTTGTGAAACCTGGCTTACTCTCATGGTTGTCCTTCATCTAGTGTTCTGTCAATCCTATTCAGGATGACTCTAGTGAACAGCTTGTAGATGACAGACAATAGGCAGATTGGGCGATAGTTGCTAATGTTGTGGATGTCTCCCTTCTTGTACAGTAGTACAGTCCTGCTGGTTTCCCATTGGGATGGAACCTTGCATTCAGACAGGTAGGGTATGAAGAGCCGAGCCAGTGTATTAATGAGTATTGACGGCAGGTTCTTCAGGTGTTCAGGTCTGACTTTGTCTGGGTCGGGTGCTGTTTGTTTCTTTACCAAAGAAATGACGTGTAGGATTTCGGAAGGGAGAACATTGGGAACTGTGGAATTTGGTATGTGGGCAGGTGGACATGGCTATTGAAAAGATGTGAGTAGAAGTCATGGATAATCTTCTCCATTGCTCTTCTGGAAGACGTGATAGATCTAGCAGGACATCGGAGAGCAATTATCTTGGTCTTGTAGTTGGCGAATGATAGGTGGGTGTTAAGAATACATTTCCCGGCTTCTGCCGCATCTTCCAGCACTTCTGCTCTTCTCTCTTTGAGGTCTTCCTTGATCGCATCTCTTCACTGCTTTGCAAGCTCGGACGTTCACTTGCGGTTGCCTGAGGCATGTGCCAAACCATGTTGGCAAATAAGCTCGAGTTTTCGAAGACAGGCGTTTTTTTGTGGCTATCTCTCTCTTGTCATTCCCCGAATAATTATGGAGGTGCTGAACCAGTTAATCGTATTTCTTGTTAATGTTGTCAACAATGGCATCTTCCCATGTTGCAGCAATAGTGCCAACGAGCCCCCAGTTGGTGGTCGTTTTGGGAGTTCTCTTCTTAAACTTTGCAGCCCTTTCTCCCTGTTCTGTGAAGTAGAATTTTGCATGAAGGAGATGGTGGTACAATCCCATTTGGAATTTTGGAACAACAGAGACATCAGTCAGGCTACACTGTCGATTGAATATGATACGGTCTATTTTGTTATGGAACCGTCCACCGGGAGACTCCCATGTCCAACGTTTAGATTCGGCCTTCTGGAACTGTGAGTTACCATGGATGGTCTTGGTTGACATGATGAACTCAGACAGTCTCTCACCCTGAAACCCAAGCACAAAAATTTGTAAGTCTATAACTGTACCTCATGGTGTTTCACTAATAAAAAAAAGAATGTATAACTTTTTAAATAAAATTTCTCTCTTTGACCCATGGAAAAAACAAACAAACAAACAAAAGGAATAGGTACTCTCTCTTACTCAAATTTTGACACTGCGTCTCATACATGCAGGACATGCTATTCAACTGATGAGCCAAATCACCAAATTCTAGTCAAGATTATTTGATTTCAAGTAAGAGAATCTTCAAGCTGACTTGAGAAAGAAAATTCATTAAACATTTTTGAAGGGCTGTTGAGTATCAGAGTACACCAGCATTTATAATGAATGTGAATAACTGCCAACTTGAGAATCTGATTTTTGTGATGGATAGAATTAGGAATTTCCCAGTAGTGGTACTTGTTAGAGTCTCTGTGGTCCTCCTTGGCATCTCTTTTCAATTCCTGAGGAATGCTGTATATTTGATCAAAATTATTCTATAGATAGAATGGTTAGGATCCCAACAGTTTGTTGATGCATTTTTTGGAAATGATATTTTTCCATCAAAATTTTAAAATATTTATAGAAAAAATAAAACATAAATAAAATAAAAATAAAATATTTATTAAAATATTTATTTTACATATTCATGTTTACAATTTATTAAAAATATTTATCTTACATATTCATGTTTACAATTCTGGTCATTTGGTCAACCTCTTTATTCAGTACTGGTATGTCATCTGTTCAACCTCTTTATTAAGTAGTGGTGTGCCATCTATTTTCATTATTATGCTCATACAAAGTAATCACCCAAATGACGTTCTTTATATTTTAGTAGTTGTTAATAATTAGTTGCTTGAATCTAGTTTACAGAAAAAGCAATGAGCATTTTCCTGAGTGCTTGATTTTTGTGTTATTTTGGCCCCTGACCAAAGTAAAAGAAGTCCCATTTTATCTTACCTTGGATACCACTATATTTTGGAAAAGTTAACTGAGGTTCAACTTCAGTTTCTTTCAATTTAAAATGAGGGAATTTGATTGGAATATGATGGTCCTAAAGCTTAGTTTGTACTTTAAAAAGTGTGGTGCTGTATATTTTTTCAATTGAAAGAGCATCATGGTGAGGAAATAAGATTCAGCTAACAAGGTCTTTGGGGGAAATTACCAGTATCATCTTCTCCTAATTACAGCTATAGTGGGATAGAGGAAACCAATATTTATTGAGAAACTTCTCTGCACCTCACACTACTCTCTTTTACTCTTGTAATTGTGACCACGACTCTCTGAGTTCGATTATGTAATTCCTTCTGACACTGGTAATTGCGATGAGCCTCCTAGGGCACAGAATGAGTTAAGTATGGCATCAGGAAGAGAATCTGGCTTGTCTGATTTTTAACTCCTGGACTTCACTGCAACACATTGTAATTGAGAACCTTGCAAAAAATGTTTCCTTTTTTCTTAGCACAAATTCTAGGTATCTTGTCAAGCAAACAAACAACAACAACAAAAATCGTTGTCAGAAAACCTATGAAACAAACAAACAAATGCCATCCTCTAAAACTGGCTTTTCTGAGGCTTCCTTCTTTCTCATCTTCCACAAAGAGGTCTACCTGGAGTCTACAAGGAATGGTATATTTGTGTTTTCCTTGGACCCACAGGGAAGTCCTGATTTCTGAGGCGAATATATGTGTGGCCTAAACGAAAATGATTTATTGGTTAAGACAGTTTTCATTTTATTTGTGGGCTACACCTCAAGGCATACTCAAGGCTTGCTCAAGGCATGCCCCTAGCTCTGGGCTCAGGCATCCCTCCTGGCAGGACTGGGGGATTTTATGCAGTATGAAGAGTTCCGGGCTGCAAGCAAGACAAGCACCTTAATCCCTGTATTATCTTCCTTGCTCTTCATTTTCAAAGTGTAGAAATCCGGGAAAATAAAGGGGGGGGGGGGGGGAGTCTAAGAAAAGAAAGATTTTCAGCGCAGCAGCAACAAGTAGTGTGTGGATGCTTTCTCAATCAAGATTACAAGGCAGGCATACTCTACTCATTTTTGATGTGTGATTTTTTTTTTGACACTTTTGGTGCCTTAATTTAGTTCAAGCTGTCTGAAGCGTGCGTTAGAATTGAGAGTAGTCCGGTTCTGGGGCTTTCTGCAGGGAGGAGGCGGCGGCGTGGTGTGGGTGTGCAGCTGCTTCGCGGGCCCGAACAGGGGAAGGTAAAGCCCATTCCAAGGCCGGGTTTCTCTCCCATCCCACGCTTCCGTCCCGCGTGTCCCCGGCCCTGGAGCAAGTCAGCGCGCGGGAACGCGGGCGTCCCATTTGCAAGTGTCTAAGGAGATCGCCCGAAGCGCGCCAGCCTGAGTCCGGGAGCGTTTCCTTCTGGCCAAGAGGGGGAGCCCCGCGTTCCCCCGCCCGGAGAGACCCGGCGTCCCGAGCCTCCAGCACCGGGCCGCTGCCTGCGCCAGTTTGGGCTGCAGCCGATTAGGAAGAGGAGGGAGGGGGCAGCGAGCGTGCAGAGGGAGGGGACCGAAGCCCGAGCCGCCGGGCCCCGCGTCCAGCCACCCGGTGCACGCAGAGAAACTTTCCCTCCCGGCCTCGGGAACTGCGCCCCGGCTGGGCTCCGAGCGGAGATCGCGGGGCTGCGAGAAGGCGGCGGTGCTCCACGCCCCTGCCCTGGCTGAGAAAGGTACGGAGACAGCGCGGTGGACCGCGGGACCCTCCGGGGCCGGCTGCAAGCGCAGCCTCAGGCCTTGCAGTGTCTCCAGAGCGGACGCGGGCGGTGGTCAGTCCTGGCCGCGAGTGGCGGCGGCGGCGGCGGGCGCGGGGCGTGCGTGGCCGCTGGAGGCACCGGGCAGGTTGGAACCGTCCCCACCCCCCAGCCCACCAATAAAAACGCCAAACGGAAACAAAATCTGGACTGCGAAAGGCGGGGAGCCCTCCTGCAAGCAGGACCTGTTGACGATTGCGAGGGCCGTGTGGAGGAATAACGGGGAAGCCCCCACCAGGTGGGAGACGCAGCGGACTCTGCAATCGGGGCGCCCTTTGTGGCAACTTGGGTCCTGGTGGCCGGGGCTGCAACTGGAGGGGACTGGGGGGTGGGTACCCTTGGGTCGCTATATCTGAGGGTGCGTGGACCAGATGGGACTAAGCGAGCCAAGTAAGTCACCGCCGGGTCAGGGACCGGCGATGCCGGAGCGAAACTTCTTCCAGCCTAAGGTCCCTTTTGTTGGCCCGAAAGAGTGTGGGCTTGGGGGCGGGGAATCGCGAAGCCCCGCGGCTCGGCCGCGGATTCTTTAAATCCCTGGGCAGGGAGGGCCCCCACTCGGGGGCGGCGCCCGCATGGTCCCCCCTTTATGTCGGGTAGACCGAGTAGTTCCTTCTGGGAGTTGGGGGGTTGGGGGTGACTGCTGCTCTCTTGGGGCGCACGGCGCCCAAGGATGGTGAGACCCTGGGCTGGCTGGCCAAGCCCGCTGGCTGGGGACCTGACTCAGTGGATCCGAAAACTGTTTCTCCCCACCCACGGTTCCTGGGGCCGCTCGCTAAGACTTCTGCGTGCGGGAGGGAACTCTGGGCAGGCTGGTTTTCTTGGAATGTGTTTACGAGGCTGAATGGGTCTAGAACAGGAAGCTGGAAGCTGCAGCTAGAAACTAGCGTGCCTGGGTGGAGTAAGGAAGAGGACCCTGCTGTTGGGCTCCGCGTGTTCACCTACTAGGTTGGGCAAACCCGCACTTTGGGGTAGGTTGGCGGTCTAGATACCTTATCCTGGCTGCTAACGCCCCCCCATCCCCCCCCCCCGCGCCCACTTGAGCACTCCATACTTTAAGCTACAATCATACATTCGTATGCACGCTTTCTGTCTTCTGTCTGCAAGTTTGACAATGTATAATACAGTCAATCAAGGAGAGATTTTATCCATATTTTTAGGACCTGCTTTAAAAAAAAATGTTGTACAAAGACTTGGGCGTAAAAGTTTTTGGAGAGTGCTGGTCATGCCTGCTTGTTCATTTCTAAGGCTTGTAGAGGATGTAGCAGCCGGCAATGCTGATGAATTGTGTCTGCTATCAAACGGGTGATTAGGTGCTAAAGGAGCTATAATGAGACAAGAGTGGATGTTAGGAGGTAGGAAACAGGAGTTGAAAACAGGAGTTGGAAAATTTTCAGGTTCGTTAATAGCCCCTTCTTTTGCCAGGTTTCCCCTCCTTCCCCCACATAAACAAGTAGCCTTGCTAGAAAACCCACCAATCGGGAGACTGAGGTCTTTGGCGACTAAAAAGCCTTGCTGGAACCAGCAGACAGACTAAGGTACTGCCCCGTTGCATAATTTAAAGGTCTCCTTGAGCTGTCCAGGAGTGTTTTCCAAGTTTTTACGACTGACAAGTAAAGAAGAGAGGAGCCTGGCCGGCAGCCAAACTAGACTGAGCTCAGTAGCCAGGCATGAAAGAGACTGGGGAAGTTGCAGGGGATAATTGGAAAGGAGCTGTTGGTTGTACTTGGGCTTAAACAAGGGGTTTCTTTTGCAAATGAGATTTTTTTTTTAGGTGACTGAGATCTGTGCTTTGGTTAAAATATAAACTGATCGAGAAGTGTTCAAGTCTTACCCTTCTCCGTGCTGAGGGGTCGATGCTTTTTGTGCAGGTCGAACTTTTCAAATGCCCATACATTGTTGCAGCAGTATCCTCCACTTAGACAAGTTTTGCTGCGAGGCTTCAATTTCTTGACCTTATTATTATTTTTTTAAATAGCCAGTAAGAACTGAAGTCTTGAATTTGAGCAGATGTTTTTCCACCTAAATTGAATAATTCAATTAGGTATTCTCAAATGGCACCGATTTGGGTCATGAAATTGAAGTAGAAAACATGTCCAGTCTGTCTTCCTTGTGTTTGTTAAAAATGATCCCAATAAATAGATCTTACTTTTGATGCCTGAAGGAGTAAAAGTTGGGGTGATCTCAGTATTTCACACATTTGTCCATTTATTAAGACCTGGGTTTGCTGATTCTGTGTTCCAGACTAGTCAAAAAATCTATGTTATCAGGAAAACCAGGCCCCTCTATATGATGAAATCATGTCATTTTTTTCAGGGAAGTAGGTTTACTGTTGTGAGCACACAGCCTATTGAACTATGTCTCTGGCCATGATTTTGCATCTTAAACATTTTTTTCGACATACAACAGTAGCTGTTGTCTACTTTGGAATGCTAAAAAAACACTAATGCTACTCTGTTTTCCCTGAATTGGTGAATTTGTGAACTTGTTGAGATTGACTTTATGAATCACCCTCCACAAAGTGTTTTCTCTTATGATTTCAGTTTTTCCACTTGTAAAGAAACATTTCTTTATATAACTGTAAGCTTACTATGAGCATTAAGGAGATGAAATTCTCTTAATAGGCTTTTAGACAGGAAGGCCATAAGATTTTTGACTCGGTTCAGTTAAGATTATAGGCTTGTATGTGTGTGTGTGTGTGTGTGTGTGTGTGTGTGTGTGTGTGTAAAACTAAAGTGCACACTAACAATAGGGGCATTTCAGTGTATATTTTGTAAAGACTACTATTTCTTATTTTAATCACAGCCTTTATTCGTAAACTTTAATTTTTGAGAACACTGGTTGAGATTTTGTATGGTTAAAGCTGAATCATTCTCTCAAAAAAGTAACAATGAGAAAATTCACTTATTTTTATTTTATGTTTATGTCTCTGTATATTTTTAAGATCACTTTGTTTTGTTTTTGGTGTTTTGGGGGACATAACAGTGTTCGGGGCTATTCTTGGCTCTTTGTGGGGAAGCCTATTCTAGGAATCACTCCTGTTTGTGGTGGTATTCTGACACCATTTGGTACCAGGGGATCAGACCAGGGAGGGTAGCATGCAAGACAAGAGCCTTAATACCTCTCCTAGCTCCGAAATCCAAGGATCACTGTGTTTTTTAAAGCCTACTTCAAATTTTGTCTTTATAAGAAGTTGACAAATATGTAATGCTTGGCTTGCTTCTGGGAAATAACAGTCAAGAGACTGAAATACATTCATGAAGTATCAACTTGGTTTCCAATGACATCAACAAGTTGGGAGGATAGACTTAGGAGTTGTTTTTTAAGCAATTAAATGAATGTTGGTAACTTTTCTTATGTGCCAGAAAACACTTAAGTCTTGGGTTTCAAATTTCAACCTTGTGATCTTGTGCATGTAATTTTACATCTTTTTGTTTTAGTTTTGAGACCATATCAAGTGGTGCTCAAGGGCTATTCCCAACTCTGTGCTCCCGAGTTGTTCCTGGTGGTGCTCAGGATAGAGGATAGAGATGTTGGTCATAGAGTCCAGGCCTTCCCCATACAAAACATGCACTCAGCCTGTTAATCTATGACTCTGGCCATGGTTTGCATCTTAAATATTTTTTCAACATACAGCTGTTTATTTTTCTATCTATAATGTGTACTGTTATTGTTGACTTACGCATGATCATTGCTAAATATTTGGTTTGACCTGTTAGCAAGACAAAACAGTTTTGTAACTCATTCCACTCTATTGCACTTAATGATGTTTAGTTTTACTGTTTCTGGAGTTAACAAACAAATAATGTATAAGAGAAAGAATTAAAAAAATATTGTTAAAGGATAGATTTTTGTTGTTTTTGGCCTATACCCGGTGATGCTCCGTGGTTACTCCTGCCTCTGCACTCAGGAATTACTCCTGATGGTGTCTTGGGGGATACAGGGGACAGAACCTGAGTTGGGTGCATGCAGGGCAAGTGCTGGCTCCTGCTGAAATACTTTAACATTTATTCTTAAATCTGGTACTATCGTTAATAGTGAATCTATTAACAAAGGTAGAAATTATAGGAAAGAGTTTTTCATATTTTCCATCGCCAAATATAAGGCCAAATTTAGTCATATTAGTGCATTAAGTACTCTGTTTTGAAAACGCAAAGAAAAAAATAATTTTAAGGAGCTATTGGGAGAACTTTGATGTATATTCAAAAGCCACTTCACTTTTGAGTTCAAATTAAAAATCTTTAACTATAATTTCCATGTTTATTTTTATTTGTTTTTGATTGTGGGTTTTAGGCTACACCTGGCGGTACTCCGAGATTACTTAAGAATCTGTGCTCAGGTCTGGCTTTATTCAGGAGACCGTATGTGGGGTTGGAATCAAACCGGGGTTCATTGTGTACAAGGCAAGCACTTTATCCTTGTGTTGTGTCTCCAGCTCTTTATCTCAGTTTTATATAAATTTCATCTCGCACACCACGTTGTGATTTATCCTGCAAACTTGCAATTTGTTTTCTGACACCTTTGAAGAATAAAAATGTTATTTATGGAAATATAATAAGGAATTTAAAAGTCATTAGAGTATCCAACTTTTATGGCTGCTGTGTGCCCAGGTTTCTAAATATATTAGAGGCTGATGGATCCAAGAATGTTTGCCTTAACACCTTTGGAGAATTGGAAACTTTTAACTTTTTCCTATGGGAGGTTAAATATATTCAAATTGGAAGAGGAATAAACAGTATGAACTTTGAATAAAGAAATCACTTTGCTCCAACAGTGGAGCTATGAAATGAAATCAGCCCTTTACTTGTAGAGATAATGGCTAAAAATCATTGTTCCAGAGTTAAAAAATAGTGTTTATATGATTTTCAGACTGTTGTTTGCTAATTTTATATTTAGTTGATGCCAAGAAAATGTTTTCAGTC